TATATATATATATAATATATATATATATATATATATATATATATATATATATATATATATACACATATACATTTATATATAAATACGAATGGACGTATATATATATACATACATAAAGTCATACACACGCACACACTCACTCTCACACACACACACACACTCATTTATATATTTAATATATACACATACATACTATATACATGCTACATACATACATACACACACACACACACGCACACACACATATATATATCTATTCATATAGAAATACACACAGACACACACACACACATATATATATATATATATATGTATACATACATACAGATATTTATACATACATATATACATACATTTATGTAGTTAGCACTTATATATATATATATATATATATATAATGTAACACACATACACAGACACACAAATACGCACACACAGACACAGACACACATATATATATATGGGTTCATATCGCGCGCAACGAATGGCACGTCACATATCACATCACATCATACCACACTTAACGTACCAACACGCAGAAAGCATGCACTTACATATTACACCCTACACTTTACGTATATGACGAATACATGGCCCCGATAGTAGTCACGTCCAAAATCTTAAAGGATACTAAAGTCAATACCTTATCAGTCCTCGGTAGGTATCTTTTAATGGGGTGCTGCCCACACATACAATATCGCACTTTGCAAAGCGCGGGTTGACACTAGTGATGCGGACCACCACAACCGACTGTGTGACAGGAATCACTTTCTCAGACGCGTCTAGGGAGATCACTGAAATGATTGGAAGCTGTAGTGTATGGTGTATAAACAGTGATATATGAGTATATGCTTGTAACATAGATTTATATATATATATATATGTATTTGGATAGTGATCGCGTGTGTGTGGCATTGGCGTTTCAAATCACCAAAATGTGTTGCTTTCTCATTCGGCGGGAGCGTATTCGCAGGAATATATACGAGAAACGAACGTTTATATCTCGCTCAATAGTATGACGGCTGAAGCATGAAAAACGATGGAATGTTGAGTGGAAAGTTCAAATCACAATCCAAAACCTGTGCAAGCAGCTGAAATAAATGCAGTGACAGAGAAAACAACATAAAGCCATATGTAAAACGAGTGGACGGATGGGAGAGCACGGTGTAATGGATCCGGCACACGCTACTATGCAGGTTTGTACATGATAGTGTGTGCGAGTGGAGGAGTTGGCTCGATAATCGCCTACCTACAAGTCTGAAAAGACGGTACTAAAGGGATCGGAAGCATTGTTAATATCTATGCAGCAGACTGAGAATACGTGCAGGAATATTAGGGGGTGAATATGTATGAGTGTGCAGGGATATTAGGGGGTGGGTATGTATCAGTAATGTCGCATTCATCGATATCGTGATATATGTTGATCGAGAAGGAGACAACCGGAATTTAGGCGGTAGTATCCAGAGGGATTGCGCAGATCCACAGAGAAGAAAAACAATACATACAAGTATTGGGTCGTGTAGATATACATATGTGAAGATATATATGCGTATAATATATGCACGTCAGTAATTGTGTGTGTTAGTATTCAAGTAGACTCAGATAGATACCAGAACACCAGAACACAAAAACACCAGAATACTCTAATGTATATACAGACACAGACACAGACACAGACACAGACATATATATATATATACGTATATGTGTACACACTCTAT